CCTCTTACAACCATATCTTAACACCGTTGATTTCCGTCAATCAACGGTTATGATTTTCGCAAATTAAACTCATTAATTAATTATTAATTCACAATAAATGATAACCGTTGATTGGCGGAAATCAACGGTGTAAAAAAAAGTTGTAAGTATAACCTTACTATATATATATATATATATATATATATATATATATATATATATATATATATATATATATATATATATATATATATATATGAGGTAGGATCATTTGCCACTAGTGTCAATTTTCAAATTTGACACCTCATCTGATAGCCATTACATCAAAAAATATCAATGGTATCATATGCTTACAAATCAGAGTCGTTGATATTTTTTGATCTAATGGCTATCAGATGAGGTGTCAAATTTGAAATTTGATACTGGTGTCAAAGGATCCTTCCTCATATATATATATGAGGCAAGATATTCTTATATCGGTGTAAGCGTTAGAAGTCTTATACTCAACCTTAATCATTGTTCCACGTGTATCCAATAGCTCATATTACTAAAAAATTAGAACCATTAGATATAAGTGGGATCAACGATCAAGCTTAAGAGTGTAACTTACACTGGTGTAAAATGATCATGACCCATATTATATATATATATATATATATATATATATATATATATATATATATATTATATATATATATATATATATATCAACAACTACGACTTTATCAAAATAATAAGCATATGAAATCAAACTATAAATATAGGAAATAAGCTTCCAATTTCCAAATCAATTTGTATGAATATAAAATAATATACATAACTAAGTAGGGTATGTAACACCCCGTAGTACTCCGATTGTTAACATACATGATATTTAGCATACACAGCGGAAGACTTTATCTTAAAAATATAATAAAACGTCTTATAAAAATACGAGTAAATTTTTTCTAAATTTTTTTCTAAAACATTTTCAAAGCGTTCATCTGATATATTGCACTAGCGTGTCATTAACATCTAAGTCTACTAATTAAAACCATCGGCCATCACTAGTGGCCGTTGACCATCCAGATATGACCTCAAGTGTCATTCCTAACGGAGTCTCACGGACAGCATAACGACTGTATTTCAGATAATTGGGAACATGGTTCCACACATACAATAACCTGATAGATACAATAATCAAACAGAAAGCTTGCAAGTCCCGCACGGACTGCAATCCCCTCAATGCGTCAATACATAAATAATGGCTCCATGCCCAAATAACTGAATACATACATCAAGTCTATACTAATTTCCAAAACGTCTAAGCATCAGTAACTAATCCATGGATCTAATACTACAGTCATGAGCCTAAATAAATACATAATATAATCTCCACATAAGATAATTAAGCATGTTAATAATTATACATGCCATCATAAAGTCGAATCATAATAAAATAAATCAGCATCGTCATCCACTACTCCAAGGCGGGGGCCTTGCCCTTAGAAGCATCACCACTACTCTGGGTACATGAAATGATGTTCCCAAAAGGGGTGAGATAACACATCTCATTAAGCTCAAGGTTCATAGAGGATCCTCTAATCCTCTGAGCCCACTTCTTGTATGACAAGTCAGATACAAAGCATATAATACAGGCATACAACATAAACATAGCATCATCATATCATCCTTGTGTAACCCCAGGGTCAAAGCCATAGACGGTTACACATGTGTGACTCCAGGGTCAAGCCATATACAGACAACACAACCTCAGTATGAAAAAGCTCCCAGAGTCAAGTCATAGGTAGCCTACATACCATGATCACTGGCCAGGATTCTCATAACATATATCATTAGTGCATCATCTTAACATCAAGAATCATATAACATCTATATGAATGTGAATGAATGCACATATGCATTATACCACATATGCATTATCTCAGTGAGCTTATCAGAAGTCCAACTCCAACAGTAAAACACGTATGCTCCAATAAACCCTCAAGTGCCAAGTTCTCTAGGAAAACCTAGAGCAAGAATCATTTACATCATTAGTACTCAATCACTTAATGATTCCACATTTCATTCTTACATGCCAATAATATGCTCATTACAAGTCTAGACCATTTATTACTTAATTACCTGTTTTTAGTGTATTATGAAGTGTTCACTTATTACACAATCAACCACGTAGTTTAAGCACCTTGCATAATCTTAGAATCACACTCTAGGATCACTAAGGTAACTTAGATTATTTTCAATTCATCCAAGCCATATATATAATTATTATAAGTTTCTAAGGGATTCCCATAAGCCCACTTAGCCTAAATATCACTTTTACGATTTTCCTATAACTGTACATGTTTATGTTTTCTAGTCACTGTGCGTAACCCAGTTATTATAATATTCTCATATTTTGGTATGTTAATTTATACTCAATTACCTTCCCAACAAGGTATCACATGTCTCATTTGGAGTTTTTTAGCTCCGGTTATTACCGTTTGAAGTTGGACAAGCAAAGTTGCATGCCAACTCCAAACAGAGCCCTAAACATCCCTCACCATTTCTGCAATTCTGGAAAATCTACTATACTAATATCTCTAAACTTTTTATACAGAAAACTAGACATCTTCAGCTTTAATTTGACATATTATGAGCCTAATTTAAGTACGAAATCAGGGAGAAACAATTCGTGAAAGATGCAGCCATGTACAGCCCCTGCACATGGCAGTCTCCACTTAATCATACCTACAGAATGCTACACATCTTCAAATGGTACCAAATTTTGACACCACATAGCTAACATCTCAAGCTTCAAGTGATATATGAAAAATCCCTATTGGGCCTCTATGGAGGGAGATATGCTCTCTCAAAGGTAGCCTAAAAATTGGTCATTTAACCCCAAGTATGTTTAATTATCAAATCCTAATTATCTTTTGTTAGCAACTCTAAGTCACTTTAATTTTTGGATTTTTCTATTATTAGGTCACATTATGAAATCCCACTTAGTCATATTATGTCATAGTACCTCAAGTTCACTAATTGCATGATTAGTGTTCCTAAACCCTAATTAGGTCAAGTTTTAGGGTTTAATATTTAATTAGTGTATTATGCATAGTCCACCTCACTTAACCACTAGCTTAGTGTCCTAATTAGGTATTATTATTAATTTTAAAATAGTGACCCCACTTTAAACCCACATGGCCGAATTGCTTAGTGTGCAAATTAGGATTTTTAAGCTTATTTCTTTGTCCTTTCTTTAGTTAATTAGTCCATACACTTAATTAATCCATTGATCCATGATTTCCTTATTTTTCACATAACTAATCCACCTTATACCAAAGGGGGCAGATTTGATTATTTATGTTTATTAGAGTTTTTAGCCATCGTTAATCAAGATTAGTAGGTTTCACTTAGAGATAACCCACTTAATTAATCTTTCTTAGTTCCTCTTAGGATTTTTCCACACTTAACAACCTCTTAACATTTTTTAGTCATCAGACCCTAGTTCTCCATGAAATGGCCGAACCTTCATGTGTCTCTTTTAGGGTTCAAGTTCATCCTTTTCCATGAAATCCACACAAAGATCCAAAGGTTGCACCTTTACACATCAAACCAACCATTTCTTGGTTCAAAACTCACACACACTCAAGAACAATCATCAAAACCCTTACTTTAAAATTTTTTCAACATTATTCTCCCTACCCACATACAAAATTGAGATGCACAAGAAGAGAGGAAGGATTTTGGGTCATTTTTTCCCAAAGTAGTGCTTACTTCTTCAAGCTCACACCTTTAGCTCCAAGCTTCACTTTTTACCAACAAGGATGCTTCTTTAAACAAGAACACACCTTCAAAAATATGCTCAACATTTAGAGCTCAAGAACACAAGAGAGAAAGATGAGGTTTTTCAAGAAAAGTTTAGAAACTTACACTAGAACTCAAGAGAACCAAGCACACAAGTGTTGTTCTTTAAGAGAACTTAAGAACACAATTCCATGGCTCTTGGAGCTTCAAAAACTGTGGCTGTTCTTGGGTGAGAGGGACACGAAAATTTGCTTCACACCATGAAAATGGTATGGTTGTGAAGAGGAGAGTGAGGGGAGCAAGTTTGGTGAAAGAGATTTGGTGATTTAGAAAGATTTTGGAGGAGAAATTCTAAAGAGAAGTGAGAGAAAAGTTTGAATTTTGGATTTTAGAGAAAGAGAGAGGAATGAGGCGGCAGGTTGCTGAATGGGGATGGAAGGGATGCTGCCCTAATTAGGGGTGCAATGTCACTTTAGTGGCACTTTGTCCTCTAGTGAGACCCGATGTAATTTTTTATCTGAACTGTTGTCAAATATTTACCTGGGAACCCCCAAGACTCTAACTTTAAATACTTAACATTAATTTTGTCTATTTATCATGTTCATAACTTAAAAATTTGATTAGTCGATCACAAATTCACTAACAGTTGTTTAATTGCACTGTAGTCTTTACCGGTATTCTTAACTGTACCCGGATTTCATAATCTAGACCGGGTTCTTCTCTCAATGTGAGGTTTTCTAGCTCTCCATCAGGTTCGGGTCTCGGTATTATTTCTTCTCTCATATCGAACTCAACCACATTGACGGGCTTCCTGGAATGGTGTTGGGTTGTGTTCTTGCCTTGTTTATCCCCTGCATGAATTCGGGTGGACCTGTATGTCCATTCTCATTATCTTTGACGGTATCGAAATAGCATCCTCTAGACTCTTTTTGATCTCCACAAACAGTAATTATTTCACCCTTACTGCTTAACATTTTTATCTTTTGATGCTTCGTGGATACCAACATGTCACACTAGTGTATAGTTGGCCTTCCGAGAATTATGTTATATTCTGATGGGAAGTCGGCCACTATAAATCTCACCCGTTTTGATTTGAACGCTTCTTTGGTTCCCAAGGTCAACCGGAGATCTATATAGCCTTTAGGAGGTGTATGCTCTCCATTAAAAGCTATCGAGGTTGTTTTGCAAGGTTTGAGGTCCTCCTCATCCAGGTTCATCTTTTTGAAAGCGTCTCATAGTATGATGTCGACACTACTCCCTGCATCAACAAAGATCTTAACTCGGCAGTTTACCAGGGTTCCAGCGATGACTAATCCGTCAACTTGCCCCGGCAACACGCCATGCATGTCCTCCTTTATAAAATACAGCAAATGAGGATCTGGTTTGCTTGGGTCTTCCTTGAATTTAGGACGGTCCCGAATTGAAAGGACCTCCTTCAAGTACTTCCTTCTTGCGCTTATAGTGTCACCCCCTCCTCCAAGGGCTCCACTGATTACGTTGTAATCAAATTCTGCTTCCGGGAACTCGTTGAAGTTAGGATCATCTTTGCGGTCCCTTTCATCCTTGTTCTTCTTTTCAGGAACTGGACTTTTACTTCTCTTTCTGTTTCCCGACTTTCTTTTTTTGTTTTTGGACCCTTGGGTTTTGATCACGCATTGACGCAATCGTCCATCTCTCACAAATTTCTCCACCGCATCTCGGAGATCCCAGCATTGATCAGTTGTGTGGCCCGACCCATCATGGAAGGCACAGTATTTGGAATTGTCCAAACCTTCTCTGTCAAATATAGGCTGGGGTCTGTCCACCTTCTTCATTTCCGTAATTGATACTTCCCTCCAGATTTGAGAGCGCGACGCATTCAACGGTGTATACTTGTCATATCTTCCAACCCGATCCCTCATGTCCGGGACTCTGGCGCGTGGGTCTTTTTTCTTATTGTCCACCCGTTCTTTCCCCTTTGGGGTCGGGCTCCTCCTTCTCGGGCTAACTCTTTTGCCCTCTTTAGATTGCGCATTTGCAATCTACATTTGCTCCAGTTAGAGATATTTTTTCGAACGAGTTCTGAATTCCTCCAACATCCTCACCAGGTCCTTGTAGACCGACTTGGCTAGCCTGGAAGCACAATCCAAACCAGCCACAATGAGGTGTACGTGAACATTCTCTTGCAACCCGGGAACCTGCAATGCAACATCTTTGAACCGATTAAGATATTTCTGGAGGGTTTCTCTGGGTTGCTGTCGTATCTTTCTGAGAGCGAACTCGGATTTGGGATGCTTTTTGCTGGTTGCAAAGTTTAAGAGGAATTTCTGTCTGAATTCCTCGAATGATCCTATGGAATTAGCAGGAAGAGTTGAAAACCACGCCTGTGCTTCCCCAGTAAGGGTTATGGCGAATATCCGAGATATGAGGGGTTCGTCAATTCCTCGGATATACGTGTCCGTGTCAAAAGCGTCTATATGGACTTGTGGATCTTGACTCCCATCGTACTTTGGCAGACGTGTCGAGTCGAAGTCCTCCGGGAAGGGAGCGTTCAGTATTTCACCAGTAAAAGGGCTGTTGTTGTACTGCCCCTTACTGTACTTCCTTCTGTATCCGCCGGATTCCACACGTCCTCGGACGATCTGAGCATTCTGGTCATGATGAGTCATATTCCAGTCTTCCTGGCCATTGGCCTGTGCCAGATGGTTTCGAGCATTTTGGCCCTCGGCAGCCCGGTTCCTTGAGTCCGGGTTTGCTGCGTTCGCCGGGTTGGGCCTTTCTTGATTTTCCACTTCAGGAACCCGGTTTGGCAGGATTAGGTTTCGAGTTCCTTCTCGGCCATTGGCAGGCTGGCCTTCAGTTTCTGTTGCCCCCAGTCCAGTCAGCTGTGTTAAGCGATGTTCCAGGTCTCGCATTCTCCTATTGCTTTCCTCCCGTATCGCCCGAAAGTCCTGCTGTCGTTGCAGGTTATTATGAGTTTCCAATTCTACAATCCGCTCCATGATCGCAGCAAATGCGTTGTTAGCCAACCGAGTATCCGGATCGGCTGATTGGGCAATACGCGCAGCAAGATCTCCTGGGTGCTAGGAAGGGTTGTTCCTTATTGGAGCCATAATCGCATCAGCCCCCTATCTCGACGCGCTGGAGTAGACGCGGTGTCTGAGACGTCATCCTTAACCTGGACATGGTCATAGTCCACGTTGTTTCCGATCTGGTTCTGAGGCTGATTTACCTTTTCCAGGATCGGATCCAACGGTTGATTCTAGTTCCGGGGTGGCTGCTGGCTACTACTCCTTGTCTGGATTGCCATCCTTTGTCAGGTTAGTGGGGACTTCCAATTCAATGAAGATGGGTCCCCACAAACGGCGCCAATGTTCTGTCCTTGAGACACAGATGTCCAACCCAATAGGCTGGTGCCTTAATCTTGGATCTAGTGCCCTCTCCAAGGTATCTATGAATGAGATACCCTTGAGTCAAGCAGATCACTGTGTACATAATACTATAACGGTGTTAGCCAATGGGGTGTGTGTGTGTGCACAGTGACAACATAACAGTAAGAGAGAGCGAACCGTACCTTTAGGGTTTACCTTGTATTTATAGAGGTTACCTGTGGGTAGTGTGGATGGGCCTTTGGTGCCTCTGGTGAGGGCCCAAACATGTTTGCTATGTTGTCGTATTAGGATTAGTATTCTTGATGGATATCTATCCTTTGTTAATATCAATCAGTATCTTAGATTGCCTCTTGTTGGGCTTACCACTTAATGGGCCCATTTTATGGGTCCATAACAATTTTATTTTATTTTTTTGAATTTCATAATTAAATTTAAAATAAAAATATAAAATGTATATTACGGACTTACAGAATGCATGGGAATGATACTTAGTATAACGGAATTTGTGACTTATATCATTTTAATAATCTAAAACAGTGCTTGAGGTAGTGTTTGGTAGAGAATTTATTTTGGGATTGATTGGAAAGTGTAAGTGGATATTGGAAAATATCACGTTTGGTTCAGGTTTTTGAAAAAAATACTAGGCAAATAGGATAGATGAAAAAATGACTTTTGTGTTCTATTACAGAATACCACTTGAGATGTGGTATTTTGAGACAACCGGGGAAGTGAAAACACAGGTGCGAAGTTTCTCCCGAACATAGATTTTGCAAATTTAAATAAATTTCTCTGGTAATATTTCGGTCAACCAAACAACTTTTTTTACATTTTTCTACCAAACTCACTTTTCAACCATTTTTCTAGTAATTACATTTTCCTAGTATTCAAAAAAAATTTCTTCAACCAAACGCCCCCTGAATGATTAGTCTCGTATACTTGTAGAAAACAACTATGTCTCATTTGTCAGGAAAAAAAACCAAAGATTTAAAAGATTAAAAAAAAATCATTATGTACTATACTAATAAAGTACAGATCATCAATAACGAGCATCAACATGTAATGTAGTTCACAATCAATTAAAAAATATGAAGTATTAAATCGTTAGGTATAGTAGCTTATAAAATTATTTAATATCGTTAGTAATAATATTGACAATATATAATTATATTATTCAATAAAAAATTTTGAAAATCAAAATAATATTATATCTACAAATTGGAATATATGCTGGTACTGTAACCCCCGAATGCTATAGAAAGTACATGCATCTGCACTATAGTCTATTGCACACCCGTTGACAATATCCTTTTAAAACATGAGAGGGCCATGCTTTTAACATTAGATTTTGCACTCACCAATTACTTACGTCATACTCATTAAGCATTTGTTATTAATTTATAGCCGCATTATGTAGGTCTCGACAACAAAGCTTGGTGAATCTATTCGTTGTCCCCAGGCACTGGAAGAATCTATTCACTCTTAACAAATCATCATATAGTCCTTTTCGGTCAAAAAAAGACAAGAATTGTTTCATATAATTTATTTAAAGATAAATTATTCGATAAATTATTCTACCTATTTTTTTTCTATCTACCTTTGCCAATTGTTTTTCAATATTATTAAATCAAACTTTTAACTATTTTTATTACTTCTCTCTTGTATTGAGATTCTGTTTTAACTATATTGAAAAATAATTAACAAAGATAACAAAAAAAATAGATAAAATAACATATCCTTTATTTAATCTAATCTCAGTTATCTTTATCACTCTTTGCTTATAGTTATCATCAACAAGAATTATTTTGATTTAAAAAGTTGTATAATTATTATTTGGAGGTGCTATATGGTGCCTATAATTTCATTTTTAAATATATATTTGAACCCCGCATGACACGTATAGCAAGTTCCACTAATGTAGCCAAAAGCCAAATACGACAACAATTATTTACTAAAGAAAAATACAACAGCAATTAAAATAACTTCGTCCGGCTCTAATTAGTTCAGTTAATACATTCAAAAGTTTAAAATTATCTGTATGAAAGAGGAAATTCTTTGATGTTTTATTTAGCATGATCATGTTATGTGTAATAATTCTATTTATTCATGGGAACATTAATAGTAATGAGAGATGGGAGAAAAAAAAACATGTAGATGGACAACGATAAAATTATCAGTATCGATTTATTCATGAATAATTAGGTTCCTCTCACATAATGTGATCATGTTAAATATCATAGGGAGGATATATTTGTCCATAAATTATAAATATAATGCATGTATATTTTTAAAATAAATTTAAATTTAATATCTGCAAGTAATTTTTCATTTATAGTTATAGTAATTATTTCGGTAAATATTCAACAAAAATTATGACCGATATATTTTGGCTTTGAAATATACCACATTTCTTCCTTATATATTTTTTCTTTTCAAAATGTTTTCATAAGTTCATTGATTAATCGATTAATCTGATTGAGACAGATAAATTCAACTCTCCATATCAAATTTATAACATGATTTTTTTTATATTTTTGTGTACCATATTCATTCCAATAAATATGGTGAATGTTTTGTAGCAACTATAAGTGGTATTTAGGAGTGGATAATTGTCAAATCCCCACTACATTTGCCGCTATTATAGATGTGCAATAGCAGTGATTTTGATCAACATGAGCAAAGTTGCCACTAAATTTGGTGACGGTTAACTGTGATTTTTCTCACTTTTACCAATCAATAAATACGAAAAAACTGAAAAAATATGAATGACAGTTTAAAAAATTTCTATATTTGAAAAATATTTCAAAATTTAAAAATAAATCTTTTCAATAATAAGATTGTTTATACGTAATCTAATATTTTAAAATAGCAGTGTTTGCACCATCGTTATATGATCTCATATTTAAAAATTTAAAATAAAAGTATTATATCTCATAGATGTTAAAAATTAAAAAAAAAAATTGAATGCTAAAATATTAAATTGTTGCTTTTAAAAAAAAAAGATTTACATTTCAATTTTAATGATTACAATATTTTTTATTAGCATATAAGTTTTATTTTCTTTGCCTTGCTGTCAAGTTTGTTATGCTGTTATTTTCCTATTGTTATTTTTTTTTTGTTAGGCCTTAGCACATTCCGTTAGATCATGTGCAAGTTCCTTTTTTACGTTAGTTATTTTCCTTTCAGGCTGATATATATATCCAGCCTTATTGTACTTTTCGATCAATCAATCAAAGATGAATATTCTGTTTCCTTCATAATTAATATGGTATCAGATGATTCTTTGTAGCCTTTGCCCATTTCCATGGCTCGTGGCAACAACAACCGCCCACCCACATCTGACCTTTCTGGTACCTTTGCTTCTGGCAACTCCACCTCCATGGACGATTCCAGCAGTCCATAATTTCTACACAACAGTGACCATCCTGGTTTGATTTTGGTTCCTCATCTTCTTTCGGGTTCCAACTTCAACTCATGGCATCGCGCCATGATCCTTGCTTTGACTGCTAAAAATAAATTAGTCTTTGTGGATG